TGTTGAGTTACAGATGAGTAAACAGCCACTACACTGAAAGGAGATCATATTAACTTGGTACATTACTGAATTGTAAAAACATTTTTATTAAGTACTTGCTTACTTACTTACTTCCTCGCTCCCTCACTTACTTACACACTAACTTATTCACTTACTAACTGAATTACTGAATTATTAAATTACTTACTTAGCAAATTATATACTCAATTACTTATTTGCTTGCTGGTTTACAAATATTTGCTCCAAATATTACCAAAACTGAAAAGCTTGTCAATCCGTGCAAATTTTAAACACATATTGTTTGTAACGAATTGACACAGTTCATAATGCACGAAAGTTTCTTCTATGTAACCAAGTACTTTATGGCGAAGATACATGTCGATCCATTGGTACAGATATATGTATCCTAACAATGATAATAATCTCTTGTGGCCTGTCCATTATCTAAAATATCTCAAGCTTTAGAACGGTTGCAATTCATTTGTAAGTTTAGTCCTCAGTATTATTGAATGTCAAATTTATCAGTATTCTAGTGACGACCACAAAGCCAACACTTACTTTCGTAAACGCGGTAATGTAAACATTACCAAGGATATATATATATCTTTCATTTTGAAGGTTTAGAGGGATTTATTTGTTGACTTCAGTATGCTATTCACCAAGGACTGGATTATTTTGGACCTCAGTGATGACTTACTTTGAGATGCGATTCTCAACTCCTTAATGGGAAGTTCTGACCAATGTACCAACCAAGTCGGATAGTGGGACAGTTACTTGACGACAGCATCGGATGGAGGTCGCGGTATATCATGAACTAACTGAAGTGGGAACTGTAGACCACTGGATTCTGACCCAATGGCTCAACGGTAACCTGCCTATCGCAGCATCTGAAGGTCTTGAATTCCATGTCAATCTGGGTGCGGCATGGGTTTGCGCGCTAAGGAGTTCAAAACTAGGACGGAAGAGCTTACCAGAGCTCTCAGGTTTCCAAGGGTTCTCCAAACGATATCAGTTCATGATGAATACCAACCTGTAATCAATACATATCTTTGATTACTGAAATGAAATTTAACGCACTACATGTAAATGCTAATGGCTCTGTTTTAGATGTACCCTTCTAAGTCGTGATGAGATTTTGGCTATCGCAGCTGACTGCATGACAGTGAGCGAAGTATATAGATCAGTCAGCAGTGGGCCACCAGTGTAGCCGCATAGTCCCTGATGGCAAATACTAACAACTAGACGGTTGTATCTGTTGCCCACTGGTAATAAATTCGAAGATACGGCCCAGTCTTACAAGGGTTCAATTGTGTCCTGATTAACTTAGTGGTAAAGTCTCTAGCGTCATCTCTGAGCATTGCAGGTTTAGAACACAGAGATAACACGAGTCTGCTCATGGCTGCAAATATTCCTTGCTAATGGAGGCCAATAAGTATGAACCCCGCTTCCTGTCAATCGAATCCTACCATTTAGGGAGTTGATTGATTACCAGAGTAGAATTTCTTCAGTGGATCTAACTACAGTATTTTATCTCGTAGCCAAAATTCACAGAATGCTGATAATAACATCTAATGATCTGTACCCTCTTGCGACATGATAATAATTGCCTACTTTTATGCAGCCAAAAGTTTTGAACATGAATTAAACTTATTCGTTATCAAGATGTGAATATTTCTGTCATTAAAATTGTCAGAAACATTCAAGAATCATTATAACTATCTGAAATAGTCATGATTTGGCAGATCAGTAGTGAAACTGGAAGATGACTAAAGGTGAAATGCAAATTTGGATCGCAACCACATTCGACCAGTGACTGTCGTGTTTCATATTTTTATTTCACTTTCAATCATCAAACAGTTTCAATATAAGTCTTCTAAACCACGACTACTTTCTCAGATAACCAATATAATGCTCCGCCTGTTTAATCCAGTTAGATATGGATTAGGATGAGAAGTCCTGATTAGGTAACCAGTATGAGTAAGATCAGGTGGTAGTAACACGTTACAAATTCACACGTAGTTGGACAAAGCCCTTAATGACTTAAATGAAATAAAAAATACGGTCAGCAGTTTAGCCTCGTAGATCTATTGGTACAGTAGTGGGCCGGTAACTTGATGGTCATTGATTCAAATCCCGCTGCTATCCAAATTTTTGTTTCACCTTCAATTATCACTCAGTATCAATTCGAGAATACGTTTTTCTGCAACACTATTATTATTATTATTATTATTATTATTATTATTATTATTATTTGTCCTTTGGGTTCCTAATGGAACGTAGGGCTTCACTTGTAGTTCTGTGGCTGGGCTGTAGGTGGTATTTCTGGACGAAGTGCAGGTGGTGGTCGATTCAAGAGCTTCTTGAAGTGGTCGGCTCATTGTTTCCTTTGTTTCTCTTCTCTCGTAATTCAATTTCCATCATCCTTTATTGGTTTCGTCTGCGTTGATCTCTCCCCTCTCAGATAGCGACCTGGTTATTTGATACAATGTTGTCAGGTCTCTGTCTCTCTTACCTGCAGCCTGCAGCGTGCAGCGTGCAGCGTGTTCTGCTTCACTTGCCAGTGTGTTGTGGAAGTGTCTTTTGTCTTTGCGTGCACTCTTCTTCACTTCTTTGTCCAGTGTAGTGTTTTATACATTGTACTCAGTTCGTCTTGTCGTTGAGCATCCTTGCCTGTACTGGTTTATCTTCTGATTCATCATCACCATCACCATCACCATCACCATGTTCCTCTCCCTGCTCGCTCTATCAGCTTCCATGTATCCACTGAGATCCATTCCTTATCTTCTTTCTTCTTCTTACCTAACAAGGTTATGCAGGTTTCTTTCCACAAAGCTTGCAAAGAGTTCCAGTGTTCTTCCACACAGGTTTCTTCAGGGATGTTCCTCGATATCTCCCATTTTGTCTTGATGCCTGGCTGACGTGAAGATATCCTTTGTAGTTTCGTCCTTCAGTTTTCGAGTGTTGTACTTGAACTGTGGTCTATCACCAGCTTCCTTGAAGGCTTTTAACTTGATTTTTCTGCAACATATTCAGTAAGAATATTCATTCAATGTAACTTAGCGACAAATTATTCATAGTTTTTTTCGATAGGTTTATGACAAAAAAGATGAATGAGTTTAAAAAAAATTAGTGGGAATTTTGAAGTCATGATAGAGACTAGGCAGGTATGATTTCGTAAATTAAAGTATCCGGTTACTCTGAAACCTTAAACAAGTTTGATGACTTGGTATGCGCCAGTGCGGATACTTCCACGTCTAACTGCACATCTGAATAAATACGCCGAGAATTGTTTATTCACTTTTCAACCAACCAGTAGACTGTCTGGTGATGATGAGACATACCTACATATGCTTGTTCTGTATATTGATGTCTTGTAAAAATAAAGCAGGAAAGCGTCTTTAATTTTCTTCATTTAAGACTTCCCAATGAAATGATCAAATCGTAAGATACACTTACTGACATATCTGAAAATGTATTAACGTGTGTATGTGTACACACATACAAGATTAAACCTTATGACTTGGAAGTTAACATGTGGAGTACATTTTAGATTATACTAGACCAAGTATAACTTATATTGTGTTTCTAGCTATAGCAAATACCTACAGAAGTTGTAGTGGCAAAACATTTCCTAATTACAAGCATTCTTCCATATTCGTTGAGTTGTTATCTGATGATACATTTAATAACAATAGGCTATTTTATATATATAGTTAATCGGCACCTTTTGAGGGAAGAACAATTTATCAACTGGCTAAATTCTGTTGATGAAACTGTTTGACAAGACTAATACGCAGTAGGCATTTTCAATGCTAACTCAACTCGATAACTCACGTGCAGAATGAAGTAGTTTAATTGTTTTGTAAGTAAATAAAATTAACTCCGTTTTGAAGGTACCAAAACGTAAGTTACTTGCTAAAACTTCTCAGTTTCTCACTTGATTGACGAGAGTACACTACGCATCCTATATTCCGTAACAGTTAATGAACAAAATCGTATATTATATTTTCCCTTGGGTTCCTAGTGGAAGATACAGCTTCAGTAGCATGTCGCCATATCACTCTCCTCCAAACAGTCTCAAAAACCTGGCTCCACCACTGCCCACAAGCTTTCATTTCCTCCCAACACCATCTCCTCCATGTCACCCTCACCAAAAACGCCCAACCCACCATTTTCCACTTCGGATTAAACTCGACGGCCTAGCTGCCCTAGTCTCCAACGTCATGTCCACAAACGGTCTTCTCAGTGTATGTCCAATACAATACATCTCCACTTTCTTCTTCTTATGGAAACTTATTAGACGATAGGTGATTGGTTCGCTTGTTGTTGACAACCAGAGTTCCTTGTCACTCACTTTTATTTTTCCCAACATCTCATCTCATCTCACCTCATCTCATCTCATCTTCAGTGTCAGTATCGAGTGAGCGTAGGTGGCAGCTGTTCATGACGTATACCTGTAGTCTGTTGGAGAAGCAATGACTTGACTGAATTATTGTTGAAAATCTCGATGTTGTTCACGCTTTATGCTGAGTGGAGTAGAGTGGAGTGCAGTAGATCTCCACACTGGTTTCAGGTTAGTGAAGACCTGTCTTGCTTTTCTGATTGTGGCTTTGACATTCTCATCTGTGCTGCCTATAGTTGAGACGATGATACCTAGGTAGGTGAAAGATACAACGCCTCTTAGATTTTTCCAGCTGATGCTTCTTGTTGTTGATGTTGTTAGTTGGATGTCTTGCTGTTATTATACTAGATCAAATTGTTCGACTACTATTGGCAAGTCGACGCCTATTCGAATTCTACCGTAGTGCTTGAATATTAATTCTGTTATGGTTCACTGGGTGACTAGCTATGAAATCCGTTAGCCACCAAGTGAACTGTTATAGAATATTTCATATCGAATTAACTTAGTAAATATAAAGTTAAAAAAATCCTAAATATTCTTTGTGTTTATGTGATGTTTCACGTTATGTTATTCTCCTTCCTTTTTTGAAAACTTTTAGGAGGTTGGCAGCATCATTGGTAAAGTAAGTCTTCCTTCTCTACTTTTATTGGTGGTTATCTGTTTTCTGCATAAATTTACTGCAATGAATAAATATGATCAGTATTCAGAAGATTTACAAATTGTATGGTTCACATTGACATTTCTCATGGCTGATTAGCTTTTCAGCTGGCCAAGTGTGACGTCAACAGAGTTTCCGCTGGAAGTCACTAAGGTAAGATAGCAAGGTGTGATCTTTGTCACAAAAGTGCCATGAACTAGCAAAATATACTAATACAGAACAACTTCAGTAGTTACAAGCCATTCAGTTTATGAAAGTGAATTTCTCCAGGTAGATAGTGATACTGAACGCGGTCCTAAACGAGCGAAACGGTTGGGCTGGTAAAATCTACACATCAACCACAGTGGTCTTTAACTACTCTCGTTGTTCTGTTGTCGTATCTTTGGATAAACATGACTGAATAATTACTCTACACAGCTACATTATTAACTAGCTCCTAGCATAATCACACAACTTTTGAACGATACAAATGAATATATAAATATCATTCATTACTGGTTGATATACGGAGTTAAATATTTAAATGGCAGAAAAGTTTAGATAGCCGTGGTTGTTATTGTGCTCTCTGAGGTGGGTTGTCTAGTAGTGACGCTTTCATCGTTTTTCTAGACAGCGACATCATCAGCACTAACTTCACTATGAAGTGACCTCTCAATATCTCTCCACCAGTGATTTAGTGACTTGCTCTGACGATCTGGTCTGTGACTGTTTGTTTCCTTCGACTGTTGTGTCATTGACTATACAGATTTTCCATTCGGCTGTCTCTCTGCTTGACCTCTCACCTTTCTCTCCTTTTTCATCTTATTGGTTGATAGATTGGATCTATGTCTATATCTCTATTGATTGCTGACTGATTGACTGACCTGAATGCCAAGCTTCTAGAAATTCTCTGATATTCTTTGTGTTTCCTCTCTCCCTTCAAGATTTCTACATAGTCGATATTGAATTCATGTCCATAGTTGTTATCCACGTGCATTGAGCGATGAGTGATGAAATGTCGTGACGTTTAACGGGCAATTGGTGCTCATGTAGACGAAGGCGAAGAGGGCGGCCACTTTGTCCAATATAATGTTGACTACGGTTACTTCAGTCGATTTTGTAAATGATGTTCGGTTTGTCTTCTTTGCTTGTTGCATCCATTGGTCTGCATAATGGTGTTTGGAGGGACATTTTGGTTTATGAGCCACACGAATTTCGATTTTGACTGTAACAAATTGATATTAGTTTGAAAAATTACAAACTTTATGAAAAAAACTCCTGTTCCAGTGGAAATAAAGAAGACCTGATTATTTCACCATAGAAAAGTGACCTTTAGGGTCAAAATATAGTTTTCCAAGTTCTTAAAATTTTCATCAAATCAATAGGTTTATCATGCAAACAAGATTAGTATTCAGAATATTTTGTAACATCACCTTTATCTTTGAAAATCTAACTAGAGTGTATGTATAAAATCCTCGAAAATTATGAAAATTTTCAGTTGACCTGATAGATGAGCGTATTTTGTTTTAATGAAAATAAAGTTGAAATAAAATATCCAGAGAATAAATTCAGCCCAAAAAATTGAGTGAAAATAATAAACCATGTTTATTTTGATTGATAATTTTCATATGAGTTTTCACGAATCAGTCATGATACACACTAGAAAATATTTAAGCGTAAAGTTTTAGTTAAAATTGCTTTTTCAACCCAAGTTTCCACTTTAATCTTATTAAATAATTAGAGTAATTGAGCATTGAAACATTTTCTGCCTAAATAACCTGAGATAAGGATACGAACGATTCTTTTTTATAAAAATGAACAGAAAGTACGCAAAAAAAGGAGTTTAATGTGAATTCTCAACGTCATGATGCGCTATGATTGATATTGTGAAGTTGAAGGTGAAAGTATTAATCGTATCGGGTTAGCAACAATAATTGAACAACTTAAAATGCTGCACAAATGGCCTAGACTATCTGATTGAACTTGAGTTCTCTTAGACTTTCAGACACGCCTTGCTGACAAGTTTTGGCAAGCGTGAAAGGAAGATTCAAGGCTTCTTGCAAACTGCCTCCAATCACTTGGTAGTTTTGGTTCACATATGACTTTGCTTGGTTGCCCTACTATTACAGATGAAAACATATATTCCCTCGATTTACAACAGTATTGAGGTAATGAACCCTTTCAAAAAAACAACAGTAATTTATAATACAACTCAGCTTAAAACAAGAGATTTGTCGAAGGTTCTAAAATATGTGCAGCTATGTAGCAAGGTGAAACGAAGGCTCATGCGTCATGCCAGGCACTCGAGTGGAATCCCCATGGGAAGCGACGAGTTGGACGTCCGAGGAGGAGGTCGTGCGAGGAGGAAATGAGAGCTTGCGGACTGTCGTGGAACCGGGTTCAAAAGATCTCAGAGAGCAGAGGTCACTGGAGACGTGCTACTGAAGCGGTATGCTCCACTAGGAACCCAAGGGACTAATAATAATAATAATATTAATGTAGCAAGGTGTCAGCTAGACACATGTTTACTCCTCTCGTATAGATTAACTTATTTGCCAAATGAAGTCAAATTGGTTTCATTGACAACTTTTAATAGCTGACTGAGAGATGACAGCTGTAACTCAGCAGCTTAGCAAGTGACTGTAGCGTTCAATGTTATGAATACTGGGTTTAAATCTCAGTAAAAACATCAAAACATCTTCGGTGAAAATACACTGTTAGCTGACAAGTTTCTGAAAGGGATGAAATGTGCATTCCTTATTTCATACATGATTTCACGTTTATAAATTCGTAGACAACAAGAATAACAATAAGAAAAATGTAAAACGGATCCATTTTATCTCAGTGGCATACTGCCAACTAATTACAAAATAGAATATAGAATACATAATCTAATTAAAGTTTCTCACATGAAATAATGACAAACGTAGTAATCCAAACATTCAGGAATGTCGGTAAGTTATGTGATAAATGAGATAGAAATGTTTGATTGAATCTCAGTTAGTCAAAAAAATTCGACGTGAACAAAAGATGATGCAACTAAACAAGAGTGAAAGGCTAAAAACTTAAGGTTGATAAAGAATGATATAACCAAAAAACAGTCAAAAAAGACTATCAGGTAGACAGGTTTGAGACGTTTAATGGCTACGATCTCAGAAAACTTCATGAGAAATGAGCTTATTTGTTTGTTAATTTTCTTGAAGGAATTGAAGATTTCTGGCTTATGTCGGAGCCAATTAGATGCTGACTGATTGCACTGTTCAGCGTTACTTCCTCTTAGCCGTAGGCTACTGAGAATATTTTCAAAAATCTGAGTTAGACCCTTCTTTCTTTTCATACAGAGCATCTGCTTCTGTAACAATATTCAACTTACTGTCAACTTTTGTCAAGAATAAATAGCACATTGTTTGGTGCACGGGAACTAATCCGACTGCTGGAAAAGTTCTACTCAGTAATGTCTAAGGTCTTCTTTAACCTTCCTGCAAAGTCATAACCTCTGAAATGAGTGAATACAGGCTCCCAGCTGCCTGTAATTTTCTTCGACTTTTTGTCGTTTATTTCCTCATATATGCTGACAAATACTTGTAGCCATCCAGTGACCCGTAAGCATATTTCAAGTGCTCTCAAATCTTTCTTCGCTTTCTCATCTAAGGATGTCATTCTGTGAAATAAGGTTTTATCTAGTACCTGTTTGCAGTTAATTGGGTAAAAGCTGTTGAAATCCAGGTAGGTACTATTTCATGTAGTCTTTCGATGAAAGAACATTCTAAAAATCCTTGGACTTACTGGAAGTAGCACATTCACTTAGCATCCAACTAATACTGGATATCAAACAGACAACTTCAGTTTCTTTACGATAATCAATAAAAAAATTATTCGAATTCCCACAAAAATTTCTGAGATCATTCTTTATTTCTGTAATAGCTATTATCGAACGATATATTCTCCTAAACTGTTCAGTTAGAGTTTATGGAACTGGTTTGAAAAACATGTTCAGCACCCTTATATCAAGTTCAAGAATAAATCCTGAGACATATGAAGCTTTTGTAGTCTAGTCATAACTACAAAGACCTTACTTGAAATATACTCCATTTTGATTTAAATAACTAGATTTCTAATGCAAGATGCTGCTTTCTACGAGATCAACTGGTCGCTCTTTCTCTACCTCTGTATTTACTATTTTGTGTCGAAACATTATTGCCTAGTGAAGAACTAATTCAAGTCTGAGTTATCTATATTCACGTTATAATTTGATAATTTTGGCTAATGGATATGTTTTTTTTTTCTACAAGAGAATTTTCATATCAAACTATCCCATCCTCTTCTTATTCCACTTAATTCGGTGCGAGAAACTGAAAAATTTACTTTAGAATATATCTTGATGAACGTGTAAAAAGATTTTGCTGATTGAAGGAAATCTGTATAAATTCTCTAAGGCTCTAAATAACAGTCTCATGTTTTGGTTAGTCGTATAAACCACTCTGCATCTTATATGAAGAAGTAATGAGAGGGCGGGTATCATAAATGGTTGAAAAATTTCTGTCACTAAGTACTTATACATTTTGATTAATCTATGTTCAAATTAGAAAATTAAAGGTAACTATTCTAGGAAACCAGAATGGCAGTCAACTCTCTACCTCAACTTTATCGACTTTGAAAAGGTCTTTGACAGCGTCGACCGAGAAGTAATTTGGAGACTGCTTCAACACTACGTAATACAGCAAGCCTTTATCAGCCTCATTCAACAAATATATGAAGGCACCACATGTCAAGTAATTCACAATAGGAAGCTCAATGATACCTTCAAAGTGAAGATACAGGTAAAACAAGGCTGTCTACTATCACTTACGATATTCCTGATTGTAGTGGACTGGGTCATGCAAGAGACAACTGTGAGAGAGAGAAAAGGGGGATACGCTGCACCGCGGAAAAGAACCTAGAAGATTTGGATTTCGCCAACGATGACTTGTGTGATGTCTTCTGGC